TCTATCTATCTATCTATCTATCTATCTATCTATCTATCTATCTATCTATCTATCTATCTATCTATCTATCTATCTATCTATCTATCTATCTATCTATCTATCTATCTATCTATCTATCTATCTATCTATCTATCTATCTATCTATCTATCTATCTATCTATCTATCTATCTATCTATCTATCTATCTATCTATCTATCTATCTATCTATCTATCTATCTATCTATCTATCTATCTATCTATCTATCTATCTATCTATCTATCTATCTATCTATCTATCTATCTATCTATCTATCTATCTATCTATCTATCTATCTATCTATCTATCTATCTATCTATCTATCTATCTATCTATCTATCTATCTATCTATCTATCTATCTATCTATCTATCTATCTATCTATCTATCTATCTATCTATCTATCTATCTATCTATCTATCTATCTATCTATCTATCTATCTATCTATCTATCTGTCTGACAAGAACGCTCTAGAGAAAACACAAGCAATTTAAAAACATGCATAGTATTTCGAAAAACGAAGTATGACGTCGACACATTTAGCACAGAGTAGAAAATAATCTCAAGGCGGAAAGTGCACACAGTAATATAATGACGTCATTGATTCTGGCGTAAACATTGAATAAAGAGGAAATGTTGTCTAATCTAAGTGGTTTGCGTGAAGAGTTTCTTGCATACAATTCTTCGGGTAGGGGCGAAGCCCCACCCCCCGCGTAAGAACGTCTGAGCCCCCCCCCCCCCCCCTCGGGGAGGGGGCGGACACTGGAAAAAGTATATAATTATATTTCGTTGAATGGGACGGTAGACATGTTTTTTAGGGGGGTGGGGGGGGGGGTGTGGGGGGGGGGTGGGGTGGTTTTAATTTAGACTTTTTCCTCCCCGGAGAGGGGTGGGGGGTACTTGAAATTTTCGGTGGCGGGGGTAGAATTTTCGGGGAGGGGGCGGACACCGGAAAAAGTATATAATTATATTTCGTTGAATGGGACGGTAGACATGTTTTTTTTTGGGGGGTGGGGGGGGGGGTGGTGTATGGGGGGGGGGGGGGGGGTGGGTGGGTGGTGTGTGTGGGGGGTGGGGTGGTTTTAGTTTAGACTTTTTCCTCCCCGGATAGGGGTGGGGGGTACTTGAAATTTTCGGGGGCGGGGGTAGAATTTTCGGGGAGGGGGCGGACACTGGAAAAAGTATATAATTATATTTCGTTGAATGGGACGGTATACATGTTTTTTGGGGTGTGGGGGTGGGGGGGGGGGTGGGGGTGGTGTGTGTGTGTGTGGGTGGGGGGTGGTGTGTGTGGGGGTGTGGGGTGGGTGGGGGGTGGGGTGGGGGTGTGTGGGGGGGTGGTTTTAGTTTAGAGAAAAGAGACAGCACTATCAGCCTAGCGCCCGGTGTATCCTTCCTCAACGGGCCATTTTTCTCGTACAGTATATTACCACTATATGCAAATGGCGTGTACGAAAGGGAAAAGAACGGAAAAAGTTGATGAAGGATGGACCATCCATCTTCCTGACATGTGCAATACGTTTTGGTTGTTTAAATAAAGCCAGCTTGGTGTGGATACAGTAGAAATAACTTGTTTTAGTCGTAATACACTAGTGATATTACGAGAAGAGTCTTAACAAGTATGGCGTGGTATATATAGAAAAGTGGAGCCCACTGTGACCACTTATATATATATATATATATATATATATATATATATATATATATATATATATATATATATATATATATTTGTGTCAATAATGTAATTCCGGAATAAACAGGACACACTTTTGTACCCTCTCTCCTGTGTTACAGAAAAGACATGGAATTACAAGATCAAATTTTCTTGAATACACCAAAGCGTCGTTCACACTATTAGAGATTTTTATACTAAACACGTATTTATAAATATGGAGACGACTCAGTCTGCCTATTTAACAAACATTAACTCAGCAAAATTATTTCCTAAAGCAAAATCCACAACGCAAGAGTAAGTTGACGTTGCAGTTTTTTTTTTTATTAATATCAACATTTCTTCGCTACTCAGTGATAAAGGCTTAAATGAATATAAGTAGTCTTCACATGGAATAAATTGTATTATAAATTGAGTGTTAATCAATCTACTAGTTGCAAATTATAAAAGTATTTTTATTTGCAAATGAATACAAATCATCAGTCACTAGACGAAGTGAAAGCGGAACACAGAGTTGCTTACTTCTACTCATTATGTAGATGATATTAATATGAACTGTAATATGATTTTTCAGCCTTTAGCTACCAAGGGGCCAGAAAGGAATACGTGAAGTAAGATATAATAACTATAGTGACTAAATAAGCAACTTTCATTTTTAGAAGTCTTGTTAAAATCATTGTTTTGTTTAGTTTTAAATAGTAATGTTCCAAAATGGATAAAGTTTTACCTGTAAATTATTTGGATGTGTCTACTTCATTGCAGATACGATTTTGATCATCTATATTACTCCGAATAACACTGACTTTATTGTTATAGTATCCTGGAGTAACTGCATTTACCATTTTCCTAAAGATTCTATGCATGGTGCTGACTGCTTTGCCTCGTAGTGTGTTAGAATTTGTAAAATATCTTCTCTAAGAAACGCCTACACTGAAAAGAAATCTATACACTTTTAATATAGTTATATTTTCAGTAAAAATGTAAAAAAAAAAACTTCAACACTTCCTTCTGTAACAGACGGAGAATAATTTGTTTTGATCAATGAAACTCATACCGTTTTTGGCTATAAAAACTTTATTATTATAGGCTAATTTAATATAATACTTATATAAAATATTTCTAATCCGATTTAGCTGATGTAAGGAAGTTAGGTCCAATTTTGAAGGAAAAAGTGTAATTGGTTTTACTGACTAACAGAAACACAAATTATGTAGCTATAACAACATCTAGACGTTTTAAGTTTGATTGAAGTTACTTACTGAATTAATGATACTTAATTCAGTTAAATACTATTTTTTGAAATACTTAAATTTCTTACCAATAACAAATTTAAACTCTTGAACAAGAAATCAACTCAGTTAAATTCTTTAAAAATACAAAATATACAAACGCGAGGTTAAAACACGTATGGCCGTATGGGAAAGCCAAACTGTATTTATAACATTACACTCTGGATAAATCGATATAAAGCCTATTGTTTGATAAAGTAATCTCTTAGCACACTGGTTGGAATGTGATAAAAAGTGTTTTTGAAAGTTCTTGGGTCTACTAGTCCAGGTCTTACTTGAGTTTTAGCAGGCCTACTAGTAGTGGACTAAGAACGATATGTGTATCCAATAAAACAGGTGAATCATACACGAGTGAGATTGTTAGAGCCCTTTAACTTTAAATGAAATTTAATTAATTTGCAACACAGTTTAAAAAAATCAGTTTAAATTGGATAATGGACGGCGTGGCCTATCTGTAGAGCACTGCTAACACGAAACGTCCGTGACCCCACCCATCTCTGTCGGGTAACTACTCACGTTAAGTAAAGCAGTGGCGTAGGCAGGGGGGGATGTTAGGGGGGGGGTCATAACCCCCCCCCATAGACCCCTCGGTATATATATATATATAAAGTATGAGGAGGGTGCAAATCGAAAGTTTGGGGGGGGGGGGGGGGTGCAAATCGAAAGTATGAAGGGGGGTGCAAATCGAAAGTTTGAGGGGGGCGGGTGCAAATCGAAAGTTTGAGGGGGGGGGGTGGAAATCGAAAGTTTGAGGGGGGGGGGTGCAAATCGAAAGTTTGTCCCCGGGTAAAAATTGGAACCCCCCCCCCCCCCCCCCCCCTTGAGACGATCCTGGCTACGCCACTGAAGTAAAGTAAAGGCGGTCCTAAATAATTTTGAAAACATTATCCCTTCATATGCCGAGGACAAGAAACATGTTACCTCTACTTCATCTTCCCAATCGATAGCTACTTTTAAAGAGAAATATTTACACATGTTCAACCCAACTTGGTATAAGTAATTGTACTAATTGTATCTAACCCTTGACCTCACCATTGGCCTTATTTTATCTTCAATAGCCGTGCAAGACATTTGTCATATATCAGGTTACTGTTACATGTTTCTATATGGCGTCTCTTGCAGCGTATAAGCTAGGTGATTGGTCCATCCGCTTCTTACGTCAGTACACTTTAGCCTCATATGTTTATTCAAGCGCGTCATATACGTTTAAATCGTAACACGAGAAAGAGAGTGGGAAAGGAAATGCGTGCTAGTTTGTATAGAATAAAAGGTTTATCGGAGTGTGGGAGTAGGAACATTTCAAAGGTTATTTTCTGTTCCGACAACCTCGTATACAAATAATATAATATTGAAAACACGACAAATAATAGTGTATTTTTAGTTCAACTATTTTGAAAATCTGGACCATATTATACAAAATTGTGCATTTCACTACTTATTGACAAAATAGAAGCAAAACAAAATATTATATCAAAGTGGAAATTAATGCTCTATTGTAGTACTAAACATATTTCTTTCTCTCGTTTAACAAACTATTATTAATTAACATTAATTTCATTAAAAAGTTTATACTTAGTTGACAGAGCCGATGTAAAACTTTAATCATTTAAGTGAAGGAAACTGTCTTCAGATTTATTTCCCTTGGTTGCTTTTATCAATGAGTAAAACATTTTGTAGGCTTAGAAACTGTGTATAAAAATAAAGCTATGACGTCAGACGTGGTGACTACTGCGCGGTCACTTTGAGTTTAACTTCTCTAGACTCTCTGTTAAAATAGCGTCTCTTGCACTGCGTTTTATTTTAACTTCATGCAGCAAAATAATCATCGCTTTTTAAAAATCCGAAATAGACATCAAGGTACATAACATATTTACAGCCAATCATGACCCATTTTGACAGCCACTCCACAAAAAAATAGTTTTAAATTATCAGAAAAGTAAAATTGTATGTCAAAGAAATCTAAAGACCTAATGCACTTTTTTAACTGAAGTTTTTAATTATTTAAAAAAAAAACACAGAAATAATGATATTATTAAAACAACATAATTAAATGGAGAAAATTCACTACAAATAGGTTCAAATAGATGACAAGGTTCAACAAAATTTCCTTTGAGGATGATATGGAAATAAACAATAATCTATTTGATTAGCACATATTTGTTTGAGAGAACAATTATTAAAATTAACTAAACACAAAGTTTGAAAAGTTAACTCATATGTAAAATGCAGCTTTCAGCTAAGCCCAGTACAAATTGTTAAAAATCTAGATAAAAGCAATACAAATACAAAACGGAGTCAACGATTAATAAATATCTGTATCTGCTCAACATTTGAGTTAAAGGACTATTTTATACAATGGTTCTAAAAGATTTTACATTGTTAATTTTTATTGTCAGTTCGATTAAATTGTTTGTGAACTTTTCTTCTTCTAGATTGTTGCCTTTCGAAAAGGACTGGTATACTATATAAATGCAGATTCACATTATTTATCTTACATTGATTCTAATAACTGATCCAGTGTCCATTTCTTCCCTCAGTTACCCGCTAAAACCTAGACCATCACTGGTCACGCCCACATGAACATCATCCCCTAACTTTTGACCAACCCTGTACACCAGAGCCCCAGCAGTGCCTGGACATGTCGGGGTTGTGTACATGTACCATGTCCGGCCATCCGTGACGGCGCGGTGCACCCAGTGACCAATGGATACCTGCGGGTCGGATTGTCCGTGCGGGTACGAGATTATGATGGTCAGGTTCACATCTGTGTTGGCCCTGTATTTCTCGTAGACAGTGCGGTGGATATCTTGAAACTGTAGACACAAGTCTCTTAGGTTATACCCAAACTTCACATTGTGTGTGGCAAACTCCAAAACACACGATTTCTCCCCATTGTTTAAAGGAGGAATATGAATACAATCTAAAGTAACATTCACCATCTCATCTTCCTCATTCAAGTTATATTTCGTTGAGAATTGAAACATTTTTGGATTCCTCTTCTCGAAAAAGTCGACGAAATCTCTTGTCGTTCTCACATGCACCTTCCACCAGATCATTTTACTTGGCGTATCACTCTTATGTCCGGGACATGGGCACACAGTTTTGTCCCCTGTTCCTACAGTGTGCATGTCTACTTTAAACACTGTGCCAGTGCATTCTTTTGACGCCTTCTTCGATTCAGTACCAGCGCTACATTCTTGTTTGCCGACTACTTTGACTGTTAGTTTAGACCAGACTATAATAAGTTCCTCCAAATCTTCTCCTCTGTAGCCTTTAGGAAGAGAAGATTGATCTAAGCTGTCCACAGGAAAGAAGTCCTCTACACATGGATCATCTTCATGGTCAGATAAATCCATAGGACCACGTCTCTGACATTTTTTGCACATTCCCTCTGAAGACGTATCGAACACCTCATGTGTGCCTGTAAAAGAAATATAGTACTGGCTCTAGTATCTCACAATATTCAAGAGAGCTGCTTTTAGGGAACCGACTCATGGTCCACAGTTGTGAACTGTGCTAACAGTATTTCTTCCAGACTTTTTTCTCCGGGGGGGCACTTGAAATTTTCGGGGGGGGGGGGGGGGCGGGGCGGTAGACTTTCTTCGGGGGGGGGGCGGACACTGTTAAAAGTATATATTTTCTATATAAATTATATACATTTCATTTCGTTCGGGGGGTGGGGTGGGGGGGGGGGGGGGGCGGTAAAAATTTTTCGGGGGGGGGGGGGGGGGCGAAGAGTTGCCTGGAAAAAACTCTGTGTGCTAATATAGTGACTGAGCGAATACTGTGCTAATATAGTGACTGAGCTAATACTGTGCTAATATGATTACTGTGCTAATACGGTGCTAATATAGTGACTGAGCTAATACTGTGTTAATATAATTACTGTGCTAATACTGTGCTAATATAGTGACTAAGCTAATTGTTGTGAATGGACTTTAGTATATTGAATGAGTTCGAGAGTATGCGTGTGGTTAATCGAGTTTAATAGAGATGTTGATGGTTTGAGAGTATGAGTGTAGTTGAATGTGTTTAATAAAGATGTTGATTGTTTGAGAGTATGTGTGTAGTGGTATTAATAAAAGATTCTGAATGAGTGAATAAATAAGGATGTGACGTAGGAGAGTATGTTTGGTTTGTTAGGAAGATAGTAGAAGTCAGTCTGAGTAATGTTGTCGTTGTGTTAGGAACCTTCGTCCTGTGTCTGTCGTTGATTTAGTCGTCGTGTAAAGTTGATATAATCAGAGGCGTAGCGTGGGGGGGGGGACATATGTCCCCGGGCGCTGACCTTAGAGGGGCGCCAAATTGAAAGTTTGAAGAGGGTGGTGTGCAAATGAAAAGTTCGAGGAGTGGGGGTGCAAATCGGAAGTTTGTCCCCGGGCGCCGGGAAGGGTCGATACGCCTCTGGATGTAATAAAATCATAGAAATGAAGAAAGCCGCCTTGTCTCATCTATATTCAATCGTCCACGTTCAGCATCGGCTCTGTACAAGCGCTCGCTTTACAACACTAATACTGTGATAATATAGTTGGTCACCTACTTACCAGCCCTATTGAGTGAGACTGGTTTTGTGAACTTGATTTGCAAATCTACAGCATGTGCTGGTAAATTTAGAGAACACTTTATATTGGGACGGTGTGGTCGAATGGTAGAGATTTTGACTGCTAGCCCGAATGTCTCGGGTATGGATCTCTGATCAGCCTTGTGACTGCAAGTGTCCGCCCAGCTCTGAAGGAAAGTGAAGGCGGCTGGGCGTAGAGCTGATCATACCATCACTTGGTGTGCCGAGGTTTAGAAACACATGAACACTACTTCATCTGCTTCCGTGACACGGACATTCCAGCTCAGGAGTTGAACTCTCATTAGCCAGGAAGACCTCGACGTCGTGAACTCCAACTAAGTGGCAGATTGTAGACTGAAGCAGCCTCACGAAGATGTTGGTTAGATCGCTACATGTTGGTCAATTATTCGTCCTTAGGCTCTCACCAGGCTTTTCTTCCCCCCCCCCCTACCACCAAACGCGGGACATCGTCCTACCGTCTGCTACTCGGCTTGATGGCGAGGGGGGGGTGTTCGGTCATGGCAAGGCTCAGGCCCACAAAACGGTTTAGAGTGCGACCGCGGGGGGGGGGGGGGGGGAGGGATTTGGACGCTACAAAACAGTAAAGAACACGACTTTTTGTGTCTCCAAGTTAAGTCAATGTATCTATAGGTAGAATTGAAGTTTTACTTTGGTGTAGAATAATCTACCCTGTCCAATTATGGGCGCATCGCAGATGCTCTCATTGCCAACAAGGGGACTTCATCTGCTAAATGGGCTGCTAGATGTCAAGAAGAATGTTTACTTCTTCTTTGTTTTCATTGCAAGAGAGAAAAAAAATGTGAAAACGTATAAGCTGAAATATATACCTCATGTAGCTATCAACTATCACCTTCTCCGGCCATTCCAACCCCTCGACAGAACCTCTCTCCCTCCATATTTGAAGTCTATCCCATTTTGATTATTTCCCACACATAACACTTGTCGATAAAAAATTGACCTTGGACATTATCCTACCATAAAGCCTAACTGAGTATGATAATTTTTGGTTTCTGACAAGGATTAGGGGTGGGATTAGGGTTTGTAAGGTAACAGTTATGGCGTTGGGATCTTCTTCTTCTTCTTCTTCTTTGTTCTTAATTTTTAGTTTTGGAAGGGATCGAGCCTTATCTGCCAGAGGGTTTGAACTCGAGACTTTTTTCGAATTTATCAACCATGAGCTTTGCCGACTCGACCATGCTTCCATCACAATTAAGGATTACGTGTCAACTGGTTATGCGCCATTGAGGCCATTGACTCCGATTTCAGCCTGATTTTTTTTTTGGATTTGCTTCCATAGCCTTTGTCCAACCAAGAACAAACTACAAGGCAGCAGTTGTTTGATTTTGGAGTTGTCTCTCCTAGAAGATAGGCTGACCCCAGCTAACGAGCCTCATCTGCCCGAGGGTTCGAACTTGAGACTTTAGCAACCATGAGCTTCACCGACTCGACCACGCCGACCCCTAAAATGGGTTGGGATAAATGTATCCTTCACTTTATCAGACCCCTCTTTCCACACAGCTGACGGACCCAAGGGTCAGGACATTACCTGTACTGCTTGGAATCAGCTGTGTTGTACCAGTTACCAAAAGTAAACCAGCGCTGGTAATACTATCGCCTAAGGGATCTTCACTCCAATATATATATATATATATATATATATATATATATATATATATATATACATATATCTTCACCACGAATACAGACATGGGTTTAACTGGCCAGTAGGCTTGAATTTCAAATTTGAGTTTACATACCATTCTTAGCAGCCTTTTCTAGATCCTGAACATAGCCTTCCATCTGTTCTTTAGACTACAGACTGCTGTGTATAGAAATAAATATCAATGGTATTTGGTAGATTGTTAAAATACGTCATGATTGTGTGGTGTAAAACGTGGTCATGGTTGTATGGTGTAAAACTTGATCATGATTGTATGGTGTTATACATGGTTATGATTGTATAATTTGTAAAACTTGGTCATGATTGTATGGTGTAAAACTTGGTTATGATTGTATGGTGTAAAACTTGGTCATGATTGTATGTTGTAAAACTTGGTCATGATTGTATGGTGTAAAACATGGTCATGATTGTATGGTGTAAAACTTGGTTATGATTGTATGTTGTAAAACTTGGTCATGATTGTATGGTGTAAAACTTGGCTAGGATTGTATGTTGTAAAACATTGATCACGAGTGTATGGTGTAAAACTTGGTCATGATTGGTGTAAAACTTGGTCATGATTGTATAGTGTAAAACTTGGTCATGATTGTATGGTGTAAAACTTGGTTATGATTGTATGGTGTAAAACTTGGTCATGATTGTATGTTGTAAAACTTGGTCATGATTGTATGGTGTAAAACTTGGTCATGATTGTATGTTGTAAAACATGGTCATGATTGTATGTTGTAAAACATTGATCAAGAGTGTATGGTGTAAAACTTGGTCATGATTGTATAGTGTAAAACTTGGTCATGATTGTATGGTGTAAAACTTGGTTATGATTGCTCATGGAAAGATTTGAACTCAATGTTGTAATTGTATGATAGTTAAATATTCTACTGGTGTTGGCTGAAAGTTAGGAATATAATGAAAGCAATGTGATTAGATTAAGTCAAGTACTATTACCATTGATTTGTGTGTGTGTGTGGGGGGGGGGTATTGTATATATTTCAGTTAAAATCACTGGACATGTCATTTGTCAGGCGTTAGCTGCCGTATGTCACATGACATGTCATTTGTCATCAATTAACTGTCGTATATCACAGCATATGCCAGTTGTCATCCTTTAGCAGCCGTCACTGGACATGTCAAATGTCATTCATTACCTGTCATATGTCACTGGACATGCCTGTTGTCATCCCTTAGCCGCCATGGGTATGGTAATAGCCTTGTGGTAAACAAACACCACCATTTTCCCCAAACCCAGCAATACTCTACCTTACCTGTTACCACATCCGACAAGGACGTGGGGTTTGGTTGGTGGATTTGTGTATTGGCTTACGTATGTATGGCATTATCCTGTTATTCATATGACTTAACATAATCCTGTGAAGCCACAGGGACTCTGATTGATCTATTGTTGGCCCAACAACTGTAGTTGCTATCTTGAACTCGTTATATAATATGGGGTGTAATCAGTACCATGCCTAGGGTAGTGTGGTCAGTACTATGATTAGGGTGGTGTTATCGGTACTAAACCCAAGGGTGGTGTGGTCTGTACTATGCCTAGGGTGGTGTGGTCAGTACTATGCCTAGGGTGGTGTGGTCAGTACTATGCCTAGGGTGGTGTGTTCAGTACCATGCCTAGGGTTGTGTGTTCAGTACCATGCCTAGGGTGGTGTGTTCAGTACCATGCCTAGGGTTGGGCGGTCTGTACCATGCCTAGGGTTGGGCGGTCTGTACCATGCCTAGGGTGATGTGGTCAGTACTATGCCTAGGGTGATGTGGTCAGTACTATGTCCTATGGTATTTACGTTGTTCATTAACAGCTGTTTACAATAAGATAGAGTCAGCTGTGTTACGTAACAAGCATAGTAATCATTTTTTTAATTAAATGGTACATCTAGATAACGTTAAAATACATAATGAAGGGAATTAGGTTAAGCTGAGGCTTGAAGTGAAAAAGTAAAAAAAAACAAATGCATACTTTGTCATTATTATCACCCTAGACTTATTTCTAGAATTAACACTTAGACAACACCAACGCTGTTTTTTTTCAGTGCTCTTGCTCTATCCTTAAGGATATGAGAGACGGATCAAACATTTTTTCTTACTTTGATTATAGTTTGCTTTTACAAATTAGGGAAAATATTTCTAAAAAGATGTTATATGTGGTGTATTTCATGTGGCCAATGTACAAAAAATAGATAGACTCTCAAGATCTAGATCTAGTACCACACAATACCATTCTAGATTTTGAATTAGACGTATTATAAAGTAGACAGTTATTATATTAAAACTTTATAAACAATTTTAATTGCACTTACAGTTGGTTATTTAAACTAAAGATTTAAACTAAAGAAACTTGCATTACAGCGTTGTGAAGAAAATGTGCACAAATGGCTATGACGTAAACGGAAGTAAGCAACATCACCGTTTCATTTTGTTTTGAATTTCCGATGTGACTTTGGTAGTGCGCAAAAACACGCGTAACACGAAGAGAGGAGTGCTGTTAATTTATCAGAGTTTAAACATGTCTTTTATTATTCAGTTTAATTCGGTCGTTCGGTCGGTCGCTTAGTCGGTTGGTCGGTCGGTCGCTAAGTCGGTGGGTCGGTCGGTCTCTCGATCAGTTGGTCGGTCGGTTGGTAATTTTTTTTCAAATGAGGTCTAAGAAAAAGTCTTAGAAAAACGACTTATTAATTATTTATTAGTTCTGTTATTTGCCTTTGTGTTACCTCTGTTTGTCCTCGTCACTATTAGATAAAACACGTGTTCTGATACTTAAATTCGTGTGTCCATCCTTGAACTAGGGGTGTCAAACTGTTTTTTTTAAAAAACGGTCTTAGCGCTTTTTAAAAAGTTGCTATGTCAAGAACTCATGATTCTAAGATAGTGGGCACTAAATTTGTTCATATATCTCAAGTTGTAAAGAAAAAGCTAAGACGTTTTAAAAAAAATTTTCCAACACCCTAAAAAGTGCCATGTTTGAGAGGTTATATCTGTAAACGTACATGTTACAAACAAAATCTTTTGAACTCAACGCAAACACACATACACAGAGAACAGACTCAATTTTTTCAAACCTCAAAAATAAGTACATCATTTAAATTAATTGCGTTGAAATTGGCTGTTCATACCTATTGAAAAAATTAAAAACGCAAGTAAAAAACACAAATTTTGTACATTTTTAACACATCACCAAAACATTTCTGCTGAAGAACATACTTATTAAGTATATCACAATGTAGGGGAACAACGCTTCTTTGAATTTAAGTAACAAGTACGTTTGAAACACACATTTGATCAGAAAAATGCTGGTGTTCACAATCTTTCAAAAATGTGTCTTATTTTTTTATTTAAAAAAATTAATTATGACACCTACAGTAGATCTGAGTACATAGAAATATAGAATAACCATAGCTCTTAACAGATAGTCTTTGTGTCTGTGATTAATTTATATGTGATCCAATGGTGACTGGAACAGTGTTAGAGTCACATAAAGAAAATATTTTTGTTGAAATAATTATTAGTCTCTAGAACCAGTAGTACATTTTAAAAGTAAGAACATTTATTTATAATGTCTCAGTCGATGTCTCTTTATGTTATAAATATGTATTTATACATAGCTGTTTCAACAATTATTACGATATGGTACGGCTACACCAAAATACACTTGGTATTAAATACAACTACGTAGGCTAAATAGATAACAATGTTAGTCTTGCATTCTCACCCTTAGTGTCTTAACAGTCTTTTTTCACAACTATAATCTGTAACGATTTTATCAATAGCCACAATAAACGGTAAACATAATTTAGAGGACGTAACAAGGTTTTTTTTAAAAGGAATCTAATAGGGTTTATTTTCAAGCTATCCCCCCCCCCACTCCAGGTAAGTGTTGGAGGTATTAACATAACATTTAGTTAAACATTAAAATTAAAGAACACACTACAAAATCATCGCTAAAACTCAACACATCCATGAAAGTTGCGGGGTTTTCTACTTTAAACTATACCCATATAGATCTACTGTTGACACTGGCGACGAAATGTACGATCACGTGTCCTTTTACATTTAACAGAAAAAAATATTCAGCTATTTTTAAAAAGATTAGAAAAATATGTTGTAATTAATTTTCAAAATACTCCATGCCAGAAAAGACAAAAATATTTGAACTAAGCAATAAGAAAAAAATTAGACTCCGGTACAAAGTGAAGTGAAGTGGGGTTTGGTTCATTGGGCGAAGCTGAAAAATTACGTAGAAGTCTAATCATTCAACGGGGTTAAAGCTTTATTAATAAAAATGTACTAAAGAAAAAAAACTAAAAAAAACTAGACTCATTAACTTGTTTGTTAAGTAGCTACATGTTTTTTTTACTGAACTATCAAGCCTATAAAACTTGATATCATAATTTAGAAAAGCTTGGTGGTGCGTTATTAACGAAGAAAACGGCCATTTTCTTCAACCGGGCCTAGAGCTTTTTTTAGTGATCGCTGTAGTGTGTTTTGTCAAGCTCGGCCTTTTATAGACAATCCACGTCACAATAGAAAGCCTGTTTTTTGAAAAAGTAATCTTTTAACACACTGGTTGGAATGAGATACAAAGATCTTATAAGAGTTTATAGAAGTCCTAGGGCAGACTAGTCCATGTCTTACTTCAATTTTAGAAGGCCTACTCGGTTTTTGACAGAATGTTGAATTACAGTTTAGCTCGCTTTAGTGGACTCAGTGGCGTAGCGAGGGGGGCGGGGGGTGGGGGGTACATATGTCCCCGGGCGCCGACCCTAGAGAGGGCTAAAATGGGTTGGAACAAAATTAAAAGCTCATTTTAGCTGCAGAGGGGGGGGGGGGGGAGGGGGCGAGGCGCCAAATTAAAAGTTTGTCCCCTGGCGCAGGGAAGGGTCGCTACGCCTCTGGGTGGAGAATTGTGAGAAATGTTTGCCATATAAATTTGTCATATTCCACGAAACATTTTAAAATTAAGATTACTAATATAGTATGCGAAGTTTAAAGAATTTTTATCGATAGACAGCGTAGGTGGGCTTGACAAACATGAGACAATCCTACCAAGTCAGGTTGATGAAACTAAATAAAAGGGGTTGAAATAACAATAAAGACACACTTTGTATCAAGGTGGTCGCCCGCTTTGATAGCAGAGACATGTCAACTAAAATCATCCAATAGGTTATTAAAATTTAGCTGTGAGATATTTTGTCTGAGATATTTTGTCTGAGATCATTTGACAGCCCACTGTGACCCATGTTGACAGCCCACTGTGACCCATGTTGACAGCCCACTGTGACCCATGGTGACAGCCCATTGTGACCCATGTTGACAGCCCACTGTGACCCAGGTTGATAGCCCATTCTGACACATGTTGAGAGCCACTGTGACCCATGTTGACAGTCAATCGTGACACACGTTGAAAGCTAATATTGATGCCTTCTAATGACCCATTTTGACAGCGAGTTATGACCCATATTGACAGTCACGCCACAAAAAAATAGTTTTAAATTATCCAAACAGTAAAATTTTATGGCAAATAAAACTAAAGGCCAAATGTTCTTTTTAAACTGAAGTTTTTATTTATTTAAAAAGAAAACAGAAATAATGATATTATTAAAAACTATATAATTTAAATGGAGAAAATTCACTACAAATAGGTTCATGTAGATGACAAAGTTCAACTTAATTTCTTGTCAGGGCGATATAGAAATAAGCTATGATATATTTGATTAGTGCATATTTTCTTTGAGAAAAAAAAATATTAAGATTAACTAAACACAAAGTATGAAAAGTTAACTCATATGTAAAATCTAGCTTTCAACTAAGCGAAGTACACATTGTTAAAAATCTAGATGAAAACAATACAAATACAAAACGGAGTCATCGATGAATAAATATCTGTATCTGCACAATATTTAAGTTGAACTTAGTTGAAGGATTAACTATTTTATACAATGGCTCTTTAAGATTTTTACGTTGTTAATTTGTAATGTCAGTTCGATTAAATTGCTTGTGAACTTTTATTCTTTTTGATTGTTGCCTTTCGAAAAGGACTGGTATATTATATTTAGATTAAAATGAAAATGAATGCAGATTCAAATTATTTATCTTACGTTGATTCTAATAACTGATCCAGTGTCCCTTTCTTCCCTCAATGTTATGTGCTTTTACCCGCTAAAACCTAGACCATCACTGGTCACACCCACATGGACATCATCCCCTAACTCTTGACCAACCCTGTACACCAGAGCCCCAGCACTGCCTGGACATGTCGGGGTTGTGTACATGTACCATGTACGGCCATCCGTGACGGCGCAGTGGACCCAGTTACCAATGGATACCCGAGGTTCAGAAAGTCCATGCGGGTACGAGATTATGATGGTCAGGTTCTCATCTGTGTTGATCCTGTATTCTTCGTAGATATTCCAGTGAAACTCCTGAAACTGCTGACACAAGTCTCTTAACAGGTACCCAAACTCCACGTCATGTGTGGCAAACTCCAAAACACAAGATTTCTCCCCATTTTTAAAAGGGGGAATATTAACACAATCTAAGGTAACATTCACCATCTCATCATCCTCATTCAAGTTATAATTCGTTGAGAATTGAATCCTTTTTGGGTCCATCTTCTCGAATAATTCCACGAAATCCCTCGTCGTCCTCACATGAACCTTCCACCAGACCATTTTACTCGGCGTATCACTCTTATGTTCTGGACATGGGCACACAGTTTTGTCACCTTTTCCTATAGTGTGCATTTCAACGTTGAACACCGTACCAGTGCACACTTTTGTCGCCTTCTTCTCATCAGTCTCAGAGCTACATTCTTGTGTGCCTAATAATTTTACAGTCAGTTGAGACCAGACTGTAATGAATTTCTTCATGTCTTCTATGCGGTAGCCTCGAGGAATGTAAGATTCTTTAAATATGTCCACAGGTTTGAAGTTCTTCAGACATGGATCATTCTTATGGTTAGATATTGCGGCAAACGCGCTTAGGCTCTCATACGCCGCGTTTTGGTATTGTTCCGCTGAACTAGATTCTAGCACTTCATGTGTACCTGTAGAGTACGTATAAATATCACAACTCTAAAAACAAAATGAAATTTAAACGTTTTAATACATATATTAAAGTTTTAAAAGTAAAGCATGTTTTACAAAAAGAGTATTTAGCGTATCTTACTGATTAAAAACCATTGTAATGTTTAAAACTCCCGATAATTTTAAATAAATATGTGATAGAATTTGTGTAATCTATAGCTCGGCAACGATGGATATTATGTGCTCATTTTATGCAAAGGAAACACTTAGTCTAAACAGTTTTATTATAAAGCATTACTCCACAATAGATTTCTTACCGATCGGATCTTTAAAATGTAAAATGAAAATGTATTTATA